TCGACTACATGGGAGTTCAGCAACATAGCCATTACGCTAACTGCAGGTCCCAAACCTTTGTGTTTTTAAAATATTCTATTGTGGGCCAGGAAGTGGCATGGTGGTGAGGGTTCTGGACTCCCATGTGGCCAACCACGGTTCAAGTCCTGGACCTGAGGCTTGTTTTCTCACTTTCCCTCTCTGTCTCTCTTTGGTGAGCACACACACTCTATAGCAAATTAAAAATAAATAAATAAATAATAATTCCTGGGGACCAGCAGTTGGTGTAATGGTTATTTCGCTGGACTCCCATGTAGCCGACCGTGGCTCGAGTACCAGAGTCGGTGGCTTAAACTCAGGCCAGGCACATGTGCATGCATGCCCAAGATCCCGAGAGGAGAATAGAGGAGAAGGGATTGTGACGTGGCCATCCCCCCTGGGGGGTAATTTCTCGCTTTCTGTCTCTCTGTCTCTCTATCTTTCTGGTGAGCGCACGCGCCCTACAGCAAAAAGTTCTCAAAAAAACATTCTATTGTAAACATTTTTTAGGATATCAGTACAGTACAGTATTTCATTTTGAAACATCCTTTCCCTTTTCCCAGGAATACAAAGACTTTCACATATCAAAAGACTGACTGTTTCTATCTGCACTTACTCATCAGGACATCTAAATTCTCCTCGGATGAATGAATTTTGTGACTAGTGAAAGACTAGCAGTATCATTCATTCTCTAAGTTAGGCACTAAGGGCCAGATATGATATTTACTAATCTAACACACTACGCTGTATTTTAAATTGTAACCCTAAGCTGAAACATAGTAAGATAGAGTCTAAATGAACCCCTAACGTATCCTATCTGTGAAAGAAAATACCCTATGTTTTATAACAGGCACCACCGAGACACAGAACATGAATCCTGAGCCGAGGCCCTCCTTCCATCTCTTCCCCATGTCACTGTTCACCCAAATGAAAAAAGTAGCAATGGTTTCAGCATGCGGGGCTGGGGAAAGTTTTAAAACCAACGATTCCTACACAATTTATTTCCACTTTCAGAATATTTGTACTACATAATATTTTTAAATTTTAAATGAGATTTGGCTTTAAATACAGTTGTCTGTCTTGAAATGCCGTGTGTGGGCTGAGCTGCGGTTGCTCATCTGGTCACAGCGAGGGTGGTGTGGTGGGCCAGGGAGAAAGGCAGAGCCTGGGGGTGGCCAGCAGCTGCAGCCCACCCAGCCCAACCCAGGCCTCCCAGTGGGCTCAGCCTCGCTCAGTGGGGTCCTCCTCTGCCCAACCAGAGCTGGCTGTGCTACCTGTGCCACCAACACAGCTGGAAGGAGGAAGGAATGGACAGAAAAAGAGGTCTACACACTCTCGAGAGTCAATGGGAGACATAGCCAAGGAGATGCAGATGAGCTAAAAGTAGACATAAGCAAAATGGTGATGCTGCCAAAGAAAAGAGGCCTCCAGTTCCAGAACCAAGACTTGCAGGAGAACAGGGGCTGTCTGTGGCTGGGGACTCAGGGATGGAGGACACAGTCTGACACTTACCTTCTTGGAGGCCTGGCACCAATTTGTAAACAATATCTTGCATGGTTCTGTCATGACTGGCAAAAAGAACAGAATAGGTGAAGTTAGCTAGAAATGTAAAGTCTATGATTCCTTTAGCAACTCCAAACTCCAGAAGCACACATTTGGAGTTTGGGAGGAATTTTACTGCAAGTTTGCACGTGAAAAATGTTTCTCCTATCAAGAGTATATGACCTGAATTAATGCACCTATTAATTTAGGTTATGAACATTTCAAATAATGACAGCACAAATAAGGTCATTCTGGGAACCAGCGCCCCCTACCTGCTGGACGTGGGGCAAACATATGGAGAACAGCCTCCCTCGTGACTGTCTAGCACTGCAATCCCCACGTCCTACTCACTGGGCATTCGGTTGGTACGGTCCCTGCCTCTCACAACCTGGCCCTTCTGGTCTTCATGGGATTTCTACTGCACAGAAAGCTTTTCTTTAATGTCCCCAAATAACACAGAGAAAGTCCGTAAGTTTAGGCCTCTCCTGAAGTCTTTGTGATGTGTCTACTAGGTTTTTTGACAAGGTTAAATAAATGTAGTATTTCAAATATAGTTCCTACTCCAATTTGCTATTTTTAACATAAATTACAATTAGGTTTAATTTAGGTTTAAGCATTTTTTTTTGCATAAAAAGTGGTAAAAAGAATTTAATTTTTCAAATCATCTTTAATTTCCAAACATCATTCTCTCAGAAAACCCTTACATGCCTGAATTTGCAACATCTAAATAACTAATTACACTTCACAAACCTAACAGAAATTGAGCACAGAGCTGCTCGTAGCCAGAGTCATGCTACAGCACTGGGAACCTGGGCCTGTGGGGTCACCGCCTGCTGATCCCAGAACCCCAGGTCCTAACAGCTCTCTGGTTTCAGTCTCCAGTAGCTCCTTGGCCATGGCCCACAGGGCTCCAGTGCTCCCGACTATGATCCACCAGGAAGCACATTCCCATCACACTCTGGACACTCATCTTTAGGGACATGGATGCAACATGCACACACAGAAGCATCAGGACCGTGGGGCCTTCCACGTTTCCTCCCAAATCCCCACCCTGGCTGTTTCTAATGCTATTCCAGTCCATAGGGAGAGCACGTTATGTTGCACAGTGCCAAAGGGCTGGACGGCCAGTTCCTGAGCAACACGAAGGCTTCGCCATCCTGGCTAGGATCCCACAGGGAAGAGGGGGCAGGTGGGTGGGGTGTTCCCGCAGCGAAGGTGCCAGTGGACAGAGCAGTGCAGGGCCTTTGTTGATCTGACAGCCTGGACATGGAGGCCATTTATTACAGCTGATGCATTTACATTTCAGGCTGAAAGGGACATATCCTCACTCATTTCTTCACTTGCCCCGTGGTCTTTACCAGCACCTGCATGAGTGATTCTCATACCATCACCTCCAGCCCTGTCTCTGCACTGTCCCATCCTGTGTCCAGAAGCTAAGTGCTGAAGCCAAGCAAGTACAACCACACCAGGGTCTCCAGGTGACGCTGCCAGGCTCTGTCAGCTGCCCTGCCTTGCCCTGGGAGTAGCAGAATCAGGCGGGAAGTCAGGGGCAGACGTGGCTGGGGTGATACCCTGTCAGGAACAAAGGCTGACATTATCAGGGTCAGAAGACTGCTGTCCAGGCAGTCCTAGGCAAAGCCAGGGAACAGCAGGGAAA